CTGCCCCCTCCCTGGCAGGGCTCAAGGCCAGGTTGGATGGAGCTCTGAGCACCCTGGGCTGGGGGAAGGGGTCCCTGCTCATGGCAGGGGGGTGGAACTGGATGAGCTTTAAGGTCCCTCCCAACCCAAACCGTTCTGGGATTCTGTGACTTTTCCAGTCTCCCACGTCCAGCTGATGAGTGTGGGTGCAGGAGTCGGGGGGAGCCCAGCTGGCCAACGGAAACGCTCCGTACGATGGCCGGCGTGGGCAGGCTGTGAATGGGGGCTGGTCGGAGGGCAGGAATCTGCCCTGCTCTTTTCTGCGAGTTCCAGTCCGCTCTGTCACGGGAGTCTGAACTTTTCTGGGAGTTACGACTTTGTTGGGATTTATGCAAAACATGTGAGTTTGGTGGAATCCACAAAATTCGGGAAACTCGCAGGATCCACGACTGCTGCTCGGGGACCAACTGCGAATCGGTCCTTGGGTGGTGACAAAATTGTATTGCATACAGTTTGTTTTGCATATTCATTATCATTATTATCATCGTTATTAGTGACGTGCAGAAACAAACTCCACAAGTCATGGAGAGTTATAAAGCGGGTCTGTTTATTGCGGCGCTGGGTGCGAGGGGATCGCTCCTCCTGACTCGCACCCCGCGCCGCACAGCACGCACCTATTTATTATGGAGTTTATCTGAGTAGGCGGGATTATGACAATTAGTTCTGGGAGTAGGCGTGATTCTTATAATTATTTCTAGGGATTCGTTATCATGCTCCGCCCCTCTTTAGCACCTGAGCAGTGTCGTCTGCGAGGGTCTTCTGGATGAAGGCTCATCGTCCTCCTCGTGAAGGCTCGTAGTCTTCCTCGCTGCGTGCCTTTCACCTTTGGCTCAAAATTCCGGAGCTGTCAGTGTTGGCCGAGTCCCAAACCGCAGAACTGGTTCCAGCTAGAGGGGGGCTTCTTACAGACCATCAGTTTCTGGTGATCGGTCCTTCTCCGTCCCCGTTTCCCTTCATCCATCTCGCAGCGGTCCTTGTGATTCCCATCGGAGCTCGCAGCCGTCCTCGTTAGCGAACCAAACGGCGGTGGTTACCGCTCGCCTCAACACGGCCGCAGAGCTATAGAACAGAATAAAACGAAAGCTACAGCGAAATCGAGCTAACTGCCATTTCCCCGCATCATTGGTAGCATTTCCTTTGTCGCCTTATTAAACCGTCGTTATCTCGCCCTGGGAGTTTCCCCTCCCTGCCACGCCGGGGGCGGGGGGAATCACAGAATCACAGAATGTTCAGAGTTGGCACGGACCTCTGTGGGTCACCCAGCCCAGCCCCCTGCTGAAGCAGGGTCACCCACAGCAGGCTGCACAGCACCGCGGCCAGGCGGGGCTGGAATATCTCCAGAGAAGGAGACTCCCCAGCCCCTCTGGGCAGCCTGGGCCAGGGCTCCGTCACCCTCAGAGGGAAGAAGTTCTTCCTCGGGTTCAGCTGGAGCTTCCTC